TGTGCATGCGTGTGTGTGTGTGTGTGTGTGTGAGAGAGTGTGTGTGTGTGTGTGTGTGTGTGTGTGTGTGAGAGTGTTTGAGTGTGTGTGTGTGTGTGGGTGTGTGTGTGTGTGTGTGTGTGAGTGTGTGTGTGTGAGTGTGTGTGAGTGTGTGTGTGTGTGTGTGTGAGTGAGTGCATGCGTGTGCATGCGTGTGTGTGTGTGAGTGTGTGTGAGTGCGTGCGTGCGTGTGCATGCGTGTGTGTGTGTGTGTGTGTGTGTGTGTGTGTGTGAGAGAGTGTTTGTGTGTGTCGCTCTGCCTAACCTGTATTCTGTGTCAGTTTGTGGCTGCGGTTGTAAACCTGTGTTTGACTGTGTTTTTGGCCCCGTGTGGAGTCAGGGATGAGACGGCGACGCGAGGAGCACAAGTCAAGCGTCCGACTGAGATTCGTTGGAGATGATGGGATGCTCTCTACAGGGAGCAGCAGAGAGAGAGAGAGAGAGGGATAATAGAGAAACTCTTGTATATTTTGGGAGAGAAAGAAAAGTGTAACCACCTGGCAGCGCAGTATGTGTCCTCCTGCCATCAAATGAGGGTGATCCCTCGATCCCTCTTTTCCATTTACAATTGCTCTCTGTATTCATTTACTTTGTCCTTTTTTTCTTCTTCATTGTGGAAATGTATGAATGTATGTGTGTTTATTTTATTTTCCCACTTTTTTATTCAACAGTATGTTTGTATAATATTTTTATTGCTTTGGAAACATTGTGAAATATTACACAGTCATACCAATAAAGCTCATTTGAATTGAATTGAGACAGAAAGAGAGAGAGAGAGAGATTTTTTTAATTTACACACTGCAAAAAAATGCTTTTCTTACTTAGCTTTAATGTCTTGTTTCCAGCCAAAATATCTAAAAATTCTTAAATCAAGAAGGATTTTCTAGACAAGTAAAAATGATTGTCTTTTTTTTTTTTCTTCAGACTTTTTGCTTAGAACAAGTAAAATAATCTGCCAGTGGGGTTTCAAATAGAAAACAAGAGTATCATAGTCATTTAATTTTGACTTTGTTTTTTACTCGTCTAGAAAATCCTTCTTGATTTAAGACTTTTTAGATATTTTGGCTGGAAACAAGACAAAAGATCTAAGCTAGAAAAGCATTTTTTTTGCAGTGAGGGACAAGTAAGGTCCCAATAATGCAACATCTATTTAATATTTTAATAAATATAATCATATACAGTACATTGAATATACTATTATTATTTAATATTTATTCTAAGTTTTATTATGTACTACTATATATGTAAGTGCAAATGGTATCTGCCACTATTTGCACTTAGTATAGCATCTACTGTAAATTCCACTTACTACTTTTTTTTTTGCTACTTAAAATGGCATGGTTTCTTTGAGTAAATGTCCCTCTGACAGGTGACTGAAAACTGCCTGCAATAAGGAATTAATTTGTGCTGATGGCAAATTCCTCTCTCCATAGGCATGGTGTGGTCTGATGTGAAGCGTCTGTGGTATGAAGGATTGGAGGACTTCCTGGAAGAGTCACGGAACCAGATGAATTTTGTCATGAACTCGCTTTATTTGGCTAATTTTGCCCTAAAAGTGGTGGCTCACAGCAAGGTATAATCCCTGTCCAGAATTTCATTCTGAGCACTTTTCCAATTCATTTTAAAGGACTAGTTTACTCAAGAATGAAAATTCTTGTTCACGTATGTATGTAGAAATTACATAATTAAGCATTTCCTTTGTTCTCTGCTTCAGTTTAAAAACGTTGGGGAAGAGGCAAGGAAAAACTGGGATGCATTTCATCCCCTCTTGGTTGCTGAAGGCCTTTTTGCGTTCGCCAATGTTCTGAGCTATCTCCGCCTCTTCTCCATGTACACCACTAGCTCCATCTTGGGGCCTTTACAGGTAATCACAACTTCCTCTGTCTGTACTTCTTATCCATTCACTGCCACAACCAATGGAGTGTTTAACCACTGAAGCTTTTTCTTCTGTTACGTAATGCCCAGCGGTCACACCAATAACGCAGAACGCCTGAGAGTTCTCTCATTTTTCCTGTGTATCTCATCAGTGCTGCAAATGTGTTTTCACTTGAGTTGTTTTTCTTTTCCAAATCTCTGTTCTTGGATCTCTGCCAAGGGGTTTAATTTCTCATTTATAGGGCTTTATTGCTGGGAATGTCCAATTTATAGTGTGGGGGTGAATCTCATGAAGTAACATCCACCACCTGCAGGTAGTGATGGGTTCTCCAAAGAGCCATTAAGTGATCAGATTGAATGATCTAAAGAACCTTTTTCCACTATAAAGACAAACCAGTGGAAAGGTTCTATTGATGTTAAAGTTTCTCCAAAGATCCCAAATTATTAAGAGTGAGCTGGAAATTTTGCCTCCAGCCACTGTGGTGGGCAACCTATAACACGTCTTGGATTGGCCTTTGATAATTCTCTTACTTGGCACATAGACTTTTTAGATATTTTGGCTGGAAACAAGACAAAAAAATCTAAGTAAGAAAATCTTTTTTTTTTTGCAGTGCAAAAGCTTTTATTTACAAAAATAAATATACATTAATATACACAGACTCAAGTAACAAGTATCAAGTTTCAACTAAATACAAATCAATAAAGTGTAACAATTAATTAGTCTTCAAAAATGTTACATAGAGCATCATTACAGCACCAAGTATTTTCAAAAGAATGCAGATCATCAATACATTTATAGTAGTAAAAATCTATTACATTTCTAGATTGCACCATGGTTAAAAATCTCTCTCTCTCTCTCTCTCTCTCTCTCTCTCTCTCTCACACACTCTCACTCAATATCTATATTACTTTTT